AAAAACAAAATTGCAGACTTCAGAGTTGTGCATATGCACTTGATTTCAGGGTGAATGTCTGAGCAACTTTCCTGCCCTGGGCTTTCACTGAATGTATTATTATTAAAAGAGCTACAAAGACAACATACTGTTTCAACAGGTATTTAATAAACACAACATAAAAATGCAATTTACTAATTTCTAATTTAAATGCTATTAAGACAGAATTCACCACCTACAGCATTAGTGGAAAGAAAAGCTACAAAACACATTGAGTGACAGAACACCTTTTTCCTCGAACACCTTACCCTATAATCCGAGCAAAGTATATGCAGATGCCATTGTGTCTTCCAGAAAATACTATCTCAGGACCCATCACTCCACTAACGGATGTGCCAGGGTGAGAAATGGAATTCCCAGAAGGCAACACGGGAGCTGACAAAGTAGGAGGTGCTAAACCTAGGGTAAAAGCAGGCAAATATTACTCATTTCAATGCCAATAAAAAAGCCTGGCTGAAAAAAATAAATATATTTGTTCCTCTAGAAGAAAAGAAGGTGTTACCTTGTCCAGAGGTCAGAAAGCCAGGACTGGGATATGGACTATCAGAATGAAAAGGGGAACCTAAAAAGGGAGGAGAAATAAAGTTAGGTTTGTTAAAAACAATCAAATTATTAACCAAAATCTAACCCATAAAATATCTGTGCAGAAGCAGTAGATTCGTTAAATCAAGTACTTTAAAGTTAGAACCATTACAAAAGGTTTTGTAGTTAGGTATCAAATTATAGTAATTTCTTATCAACTCAACACTCCACAAGTGAACCAAATGGACACATTTTGTGGAAAAACAGTTATTAAGCATTTTTTCCCCAGCATTCGTGTGTTATCTACTGCACACCATCTGCTCCCTGAACAGAATACAATACTGTCCATCTACTTTTTGCCATTCTTCACCTTCTGACTGCTCCCATTCTTGATATGGGCACATACTCTCAAAGCACTCACATTCAGTCATTAGATCTTTTCAAAGAATACCAATTTTACTTTTGAGCACTCGACTGAAAGAGACTCGTATTATTACTCTTCATTTTTACATAGGGCTTGTTGAAGAATGGCTAAGGGAACAGGGGCACGGCCCCAAGAAAGCACTGTGCGAGCAAGAGTCAAGCAAAGGCCCATGGGAACTTTGAGTATATAACTAGGAAGTAGGCCTCAAGAATTTAGCTTCTCAGCATTAGAATTTAGCTCCTCAGCATAATGTTGCAAGCCCAAGGGCAGGCTATCCCAGAGAGCAAAGAAGAATTCTACAGAGCATAAAGAAGAGTTCTTCACAGCTGCCACCGCAAGCAGTATATAAATGTAACTTTTAGAGCTCAGGTAATGCTCTTAGGTAATGCTCAAGGATGAATAGGTGCATTTATCGTGTACCGTATAAAAGAAGAACCGAACTAACAATGAAGTTGGAGCTTGCTTTATCACTCACACCGAGATGGCTGCTTGCTTCCCTGCGCGGGCAGGCACTACAGGGCAGGCACTACACAAACACTGTTAACTTGGAACACTAAGTTTGAGACTGTTCACAGCCTCAAATTCAGCTAGGAATACTCACCCCTCCTGCAAATTAAGTCCGATTACCTAACTTAACACGCCAAAATGTGAGTAACACCTCTGCTCATCTACAAAGACATCCCTGTACCATCAGCAACTAAGATGATCTGTCACAGAAAAGGCCAGAAAACTGGTACTCTGAACATCTGGCTTTTATCAAAGAATCAATCCTTCTTACCTAATTCACTACAGTACTCTCAACTTCGCAACACACAACAGCACAGAGGATAACACTGTGCAAATGCATTCTCAGAGCACATTCTTCTGTGTGCTAAGCAAAGCACAAACTTGAAGAGAAGAAGCATGCAAATGCATGTCTAGACGTTCAACAGTGGGGAAAAGATGGCATTGAGTTAAAAGTGCCTGACCTTTTAATGCTAACATTATTGTAATGCAGTTTCACATGCAAATTTATAAGTTGTTTTAAAGAATTTCTGTCAGCACTGTCTGACCCACCACATGGGACATCCACAATATCAGAATCTTAATTTCACATGACAGTTCTCTACCCTTTGAGCAAACCAAGAAAGGAGTAGCAGAAGAATGGTGCCATCTTCCACCTGGACCTGTTACTGAAGCAAAATGGAAACACATGCTTTGATACTAGGTTTGTATGACAAAATATGACAACTACATCCAAACATTTAGACTTCGGAAAAATACAGTTACTTCTAAAATTGACACAGAGCTTCCTGTCATTTCCTCCACACCTTACTTTCATACCCAGTCTGCTCCTAGCACCTTTTCTCCCCATAGCTGCTGCTCTTTTCAACTTGGATTTAATTTTACAATCTTAAGCCATGCCTCAGCTGCCACTGTTCCACACAGTAAGGCTTGAAACGTGATGCCACTAATGCATTAAAATCAGCCACTCATCTTAGTGTTTCAATAGCAGTTAATAATCCTGAAAACAGGGTCAAGTGTTTGTCCAAAAATTCATCCCAGCCCAACACATCTTTCTCCAATACTTAGGAATTTGGACATATGTCAAAAAAGGGGAGAGAAATGGAATTTCTCTGCGTTCCAGGCAAAGAAGTTCATTTCCCAAGTTTGTTGTGTAAAACTGAATGTCACATGTAAAGTAAGGGTACAGGACCTTACACACTGATTTGATAAAAAAAGATAATTAATTCAACAATTCAATGAGTTTCAAATTAATCATTACGATAGTTTTTTTAAAACCCCTTAGGATCTGGATTTAAGCAGCACATATTAAGAGACACTTCCCAAAGCAACTGTAATTTAAGTGAATCTGAGTATACAAAAAAGCCTCCACTCCAACAAGCATCAAGTTCTGAGAGAAAACAATAGGCACTTTGCTCATTTGTAGGTCGCACTGAAGACTTAACCAGAAACTAAATGTTGAAGCTAGAGGTTCTACAGGGAAAAAAATCACTCCAAATCACTAGCTCAGTTCTTGATTAAAATTTTTCCTTCCTTCCTTCCCATAGCAGTATCTGCAGAGGTTTAATAATGACACAGTACGAAGATACTGTTAGAGCTACACAGCAACCAACTAAGCATTGTAAAGTTTCAATGATACTGCTGATAAATTTTTTTCTGGCTGCTGAAGTGATTCTGGCAGTAACAAATGTACACCTTCTTCACATCATCTTAACAGATTACATCCAACAAGAAGACACATTTTGAGATAACGCGACCCCCTCACTAAATCCAAAAATCATGCACAAGAAGTGGAAAAACTCTGTCAGTAGCTAACCAGTCAGTGAAAAAACAAAGTCTGTTTCAGACAAAAAGAAGAGAGGTACTTGTGAGAAGATAAAACACAACATATTTAAGGAAAAAAAAAAAGCCTGTCCTACTTACTGGTAGAAATGGGGGAACTCGAAACAAATCCAATGTTGCTTGAAGGAGGGACAGCTGACGGAAATCTCATTTGTGCTTCTCCACCGTACCTGAAGTTTACATGCAAAATGCCATAAACAAATCCATGAATTTTTCATGTCTTTGAGAACCAGCAGCAATTTCTAGGGTCTTTTAAAATGGGGAATAAAAACCCCATAAAGCATAGTTTCAAAGTGAAATTTACCTACTCTCCAAATCAGCTTTACGCTTTAGTATCTCTTCAAGGTTTGCTTCTACAGCAAAGCTTAAGAAGGGCACAGTTGAGATGACCCATGCTTGTCTTCCTATCATCCCAAATAATTTCTATTCATCTCTATCCTATAGTGTCACATGAGCACTTTGTTATGTCTTCCCTTCCTAACACCCATCTCTCCAGAGTTATCAACCACATTTTCTCTCAGATTTTGTAACTAAATTGAGTTTAATAAAGAGCAACTATCCACAGTCTACTGCAAATAGGTAGCTTTATTTAACACATGCACAAATTTGGGCAAAGAACAAGCAAATTTTGGGGAATACAATACTCAAAACTGCACATTTTAACAGCTGTATCTTGCCAAAACCCTTTTTTTCCCTCCAGGCTACAGGCCCTGTGGAGAGCCAAGAGACCCACAATATGGGGCCACAAGAACGTCATGAAGTTCAACAAGGCTAGGTGCTGTAGCCAATGTGCTGCAACTGGGTTGGTGCAATCCCAGACATGACTATAGACTGGGACAAGAACTGATACCAAACCTGTGGAGAAACTCTTGGGGTTCTTGTGGATGAAGACCTGGAAATGAGCCAACAGTCTGCAGAACTGATACCTGTGGAGAAACTCTTGGGGTTCTTGTGGATGAAGACCTGGAAATGAGCCAACAGTCTGCCTAAAAGAGCCAACACTGCCCTGAGCTGCATCATAAGAGTGGCCAGCAGGTTTAAGAAGGTGACTCTCCCCCTCTACTCTGCCCCTGTGAGACTTCATCTGGGGCATTGTGTCCAACTCTGGGGTCCTCACTACAAGAAATACATGGACCTGTTAGAGTGAGTCCAGAGAAGGCCACCTGGAAATGAGCCAACAGTCTGCCTAAAAGAGCCAACACTGCCCTGAGCTGCATCATAAGAGTGGCCAGCAGGTTTAAGAAGGTGACTCTCCCCCTCTACTCTGCCCCTGTGAGACTTCATCTGGGGCATTGTGTCCAACTCTGGGGTCCTCACTACAAGAAATACATGGACCTGTTAGAGTGAGTCCAGAGAAGGCCACGAAGGGGATCAGGGGGCTGGAGAACCTCTGCTGTGAAGAGAGGCTGAGAGAGTTGGGGTCGTTCAGCCTCTGGGAAGACCTTATTTCAGCCTTCCAGTACTTAAAAGGGCTATTAGGAAAACTAGGGAGAGCAATTTTTTGCAAGGGCAGGTAAGTGATAGGACAATGAGGAACAGTTTTAAACTAAAAGATGAGAATGATTTGGTTACATATTATGAAGAAAGACTTTACTGTGAGGGTGGTGAGGCACTGGAACAGGTTGCCCAGAGAAGCTGTGGATACCCCATCCCTGGAAGTGTTCAAGGTCCAGCTGGATGAGGCTCTGAGCAACCCAAACCATTCTGTAATTCCGTAAGTACAGAACTTGTTTAAGGCACCTAGCAAAATCACATATCCTCATCATACCAAGGGTATTTAGTACTTAAGATACACAGATTACAAATTAATCCTCCACAGTGCAAGCCCATACTCCCTTTCTAAAACTGGACTGGAACAAAAGAACCAAAGAAACCAACTAAATATAAAAATTTTTAAAAATCAACATCTATGACCAAAAGTCATGAACAGCACATAAATTTCCTTGGTGCAAAGGTGAAGAGCATGAATAACGACAATAAGTCAAGAATTGAACAACCATACCAAGACTAAAAAGCCCAAACCCCAAACCCTAAAAAATTTAGAAATCTTCTATTTTCTTTCTTTATCCAGCTGTCTGAATTGGT